GGTTTTAATGTAATGGTTGATCGGTGTATCATCACACACATCACACATTTCATACTGATAATGTTAAAGGGATGTTCTGGATTTCTGGATTCACTTCCTTGGAACTTTTTTTATTATTTACTGCACAAATGTTCCATTTGTTATCTGTCATATCTTCACTCTCAGCTCAAGTGAACACTGGAACAGTCAGACACAGAGACAGACAGATAAACCCTGGAGTATGCTGTTATTTATGGGAAAGGAAGTGAAAAGGTTGAGGTGGTTCAGGATTCTTCAGCTTTCTGAGGTGGTACTGCTCAGCCCATGGGCTCTCAGTGGGGATTTGAGGAGTCAAGGGTTTGCAGTGGGTCGGAGCTCAGCTCTGGACTGGTGGCCTCTTGGTTGCTTTTCTGACTAATCCTCTCTTTGCCCGGTCGCTAACTTTTGGTGGACGGCCTTCTGTAAACAGAGTCATGGTTGTGCCATTTTTTCCCCCCATTATTTAATAATTAATTTAATGGTGCTCTGCAGGATATTCAAAGTTTGGGATTTTTTAATTACCAAACCCTGACAGATAATGTTCCAGAACTTTGTCCTGGACTTATTTTAGGAACATGCTGACTTGAGTACTGCTAATGAAGTAATAATTCACTTGAGTAAAAGTTGGCCAAGAAAATGACTCAAGTAAGAGGAAATAAGTGATCTGATAAAAAAACTACTTGAGTAATTAATTTATAAATTACTTACAAATTGCTGTTGATACAACTAAAACCTTTTTTCTTATTCTGTTCTATTTGTCTTTTTCCATAACAAAAATGTTTCACTTAATTTATTTCTTCAGTAGGCTATGTCTCTACATTAATTTTAGTGGGTATTACACTAGTTTTAAACATACTGTCACATGCAAACTACAGACAGCCTTTTCAATTTTAATAATCTGTCAAGCTATGAGAGAGAGGAAAATATTGCCCTAGTTATGTGATTGTTTTTGGCTGCCAAGTAAAGGTACCATATATTTCAGTTAAGTTTACTGTTTAACAACCTCACTTTGTAACATTTTAGCCCAAATCCAGACTTGTGTTTCTTAAGGCCTTGAACTTGATTTGTTTGCCTCTTTAGCAGGTCTTTTTGTTCCACAGAGGATAAAATTATTCTGCCACTTGCCTTTTTACAGCCTGACAATAAAAAGGCTGAGTAGTTGTTGACCAAGTAAAGACTGTGAGAAACAACAAGATTTTGCCTCACTTCCTCCTTTTTAAAGATGTCAGAATGAATCAGATCAAAATCCAGCCTTGGGGAAATTACTGGTTTTTTTTTCTATTCAGCTTTTTTGTGGTGTACACATGTCAATATAACATCTATGTCTCTGTGCCCACATTCAGCCCTACAGACATGGATGAAATTGTCAGGAATATGTAGAGGCAGCAGATGCAATTGCAAAGCAAATAACGAAGAAACATCGAGATACAATGCAAAACATACAGACTAAGATCGAGACTATGGTACAAATAGCAACACACAAACACGACAACAGACACTTGACAACCAGGCGCTGGTACACAGGGACTTATATAATGGTGCTAATCAGGGTGAGACAAGGCACAGGTGTGAGTGATTGAAAACATGTGATGTCCTGGAGTTGATGGGAAGTGTAGTTCAGTGCCCCTTTGGCGCTATTGTGACAGAAATCTTCAGAAACAGTAAAAGAGTCAAATTAAATAACGTTATGGAACAATTAAAAAAAATTTCTTTAATAATAAAAAATTATAACATAAAATTATAATATAATTTTAAAAAAATAGTAAAAATGAAACATGGAAAATGGTTGAAGATTTCTCACTACACTCTATGAAAAAAATACCACTTAGGACCATCTATGGGTTATTTGGCTCATCCTTCTGGAAAACAGTTAAAGATTTTATGAAGAACCCTATAACTAAAGGTTTCCCATCCAGGAAGTGTTCCACACAGAACCCCTTTAAAGCTAGAATTATTAATCCAGATAACCAACCCTCCTCATTAGACAACCCTCCAAACCTCATTGTCTACTGACACTTCTAATACTGCATATCCTTAGCATGCACACTCATCCACTTCCCCTTAGTTGAATTCCACTCACAGTCTTAAGGATGATTCTATTACTGCAGCCACTTGTGAAGTTCATTAGATAAAAAAGCTGTAGATGCATCATGATGTGAAATTACCCAGAACGCATTGTACCACGGACTCAACTTTTCAAAAAATAATGAATATGTTTTGTGTTTGTTGTTTGTTTTTGGATTTGTCTCCTGTTTTATGTTTTATTATTGTGGATCGTTCACTGAGTTTGTCTGCTGGTTGAAAGTTCCAGACTCAAGCGTAAGCAGTGGAATTTCCCTTGCCTTGATCTATATGTGATGCAATTGCACCAGCTCGCTGTAGATACAGTGCAGCATCTCATCACTTTTGGCATGCCTGTTATTTTAGTTGATTGCTGGGAGTATGGTACGAACATTCTGAGCAGTCTCTGAGCTGCTCATCCCTCTGTTCAGCAACATCTCTCTGCTTTCTTTGTGTGCCACTCCAGGGATCCGTGGTTTGGTGTTCAGAATGGTAGAGTCCAGTGGTGCTGCAGCCATAGACCTTAGGCCTTTAGCTGAACTGTGATCAGGCAGCTTTTCGAGGACTTCATTTATCAGTATGGATGTCTGTTTTTTGATTGTTTGTTACCATATTATGTAGCCTCAGATTCATGTTCTTGGCTTCCAGGAGTGGAACTTGATGCGATCTTGTGCTGTTGTAGCCCCTCTGCCTCAAGGTTGACGTGTTGACATTCAGCTAGACGGGCTGACCTCGTTTCGTGCCAACAGAAATGCAGCTCTGTGCGGTAAGGCTCACAGTGGTAGCTTGGAACAGTGGTAGCTTGCAACATGGAATGGTGCAAGAACTTGGCGCTAGTTTCTAGTTACTGCTCATTGCTGGTTGAGTTTGTGACCATTTTATTTACCATGGGAATTCCCCACTGTCCTTATAGTCAGAGTGTACACTCCCCCCAGTGCTAATGCTAAAGAGGTGCTCTGTAAACTGTGTGGGTCTAATAGTGAACTGCAGAATGCACACCCTGACAGACTGTTTATTGTCACTAGAGATTTCAACCATGCGAATCTCAAGTCAGTGCTCCTTAAATTCCATCAGCATATGGACTTTGCAATGAGAGGGGTGAACGTGCTGGATCTTGTTTACACAAACATCCATCGCACGTACCAGCCGGAGCCCCACCCCCACCTCGGCTACTCAGACCACATCTCTTTATTATGCTAATCCCAGCATACAGACTCCTCAGATGCCCAGTAGAAGCCATCTATGCTCTTCAGGACTATTTCAAGCACACTGACTGGCACATGTTCAAGGAAGCTGCAACCGATGGCAACTCCACCAACTTGGAGGAATGCACAGCATCAGTGACCAGCTACATCAGCAAGTGCATCGAAGATGTCACTGTCTCCAAGACCATCACTACACGCTCCAACCAGAAGCTGTGGATGACTGCAGAGGTGTGTGGGTTGCTGAGGACCCAAGACTCCGCCTTCAAAGCAGGTGACAATGCGGCCCTAAGAACAGCAAGGGACAAACTGCCCCAGGCCATTAACGAGGCAAAGCGTGCACATGCCCAGAGAATCTACAGCCACTTCAAAGACAGTGGCACATGTGGCAGGGCATCCAGGCCATCACCAACAACAGTGATGCTGAATAACTTCTATGCTCGGTTTGAGGTGGTGAATGACATGACAGCGAGGAAGACCACCCTTCCTCCCAGCGACCCGGTACTGTGTCTAACTACAGCTGATGTGAGGAAAACTCTACACAGAGTCAACCCATGGAAGGCTGCTGGACCAGACAACATTCCTGGCAGAGTGCTCAGAGGATGTGCAGACCAACTGGTTCTCACTGAGATCTTCAATATCTCCCTGAGCAGCACAGTTGTTCCAATGTGATTCAAGGCCACCACCATCGTCCCCATGCTGAAGAAGTCTTCAGCATCCTGCCTCAACAACTACCGTCCCGTTCACACCCATCATCATGAAGTGCTTTGAGAGGCTCGTCATGAGGCACATCAAGACCCTGCTGCTCCCTTCACTGGGCCGCCTGCAGTTCAGGTATCATCCCAACCACTCAACAGACGACACCATCACCACCACCCTTCATCTGGCCCTCACCCACCTCGACAAAAAAGGATATATATGTTCAGATGCTGTTCATAGACTTCAGCTCAGCATTCAACACAATCATTCCTCAGCACCTGATTGGAAAGCTGAGCCGGCTGGGCCTGAACACCTCCCTCTGCAACTGGATCCTGGACTTCCTGACTGGGAGACCTCAGTCAGTCTGGATTGGGAGCAGCATCTCCAACACCGCTACACCACTTGGGGGGTATATGGAAGCGGGGGCGTGGTCGAGTGCCACTTTGTGAATGGAGGGCGGAGCTGGAGAAGGTGAGTGGTAAGGAATGCACACCTGCAGGGAATTCTACTAACGAGTGTTCTGTGTTGCAGTGAGCTGGGGCGAGGATAAAAAGGAGAGAGACGAGCACCTTGAGAGAGAGAGAAAGAGATCGATTGTGTGCACGCATGAGTGAAATAAACTGCTAAAAGTGGAAGTGAAATTGGAGAATAAAATGCCTCGGAGTTGCTTCCAAGCCTGTCTCCTGCTTCCTCATTTCCACCTGAACCCATAGGATTTGCGACAGGGCGATAGCATAGACAAGTTACCATGACACTGCCCCACCAAAAGCAATTAATTGTGCCTGCTTTACTATAACACACATTCTCACTGTGACTTATTTAACGGATGCATAAAATTATGAGCGATTTCGAGCGATGGGCACGCGTTGTCCTGAATACTTGTTTGGAGCCCAGGACCAGAGGTAGTAGCAGCTGTTGTAGGTTCTTTCTTTTTAATCCATTTCCGAGTGTTCATGTTGAAACAATCTAATGCAATGCAAACTTGAATTTGTGTAATGTACGGACTTTTGTGCTTTTAGGTCTCTGGAGGACTAGTGGTTAGGCCTCGACGCTCTCACTGCCGTGGCCTGGATTCAAATCCTGGCCAGGGAACCAACCCCAGCCGCTGGGGTTGCGCAAGACAGTGCCCAGATAAAATTGGGGAGGATTGCGTCAGGAAGGGCATCTGGTGTAAAAACTGTGCTAAATCAAATATGCAGACCAATGATCTGCTGTGGCGACCCCACAGGGAGCAACCGGAAGAAGAACAATGCCTGCTTGTGCTTTTTGTGTCTCAGAAAGTTTAAAGTAACATAACCTAAAGTAACATATTGTAGGCTACTGTGTGGGAGCACGCTTAATCAGACAACTAATCAAAATGTGACTTTGTGCAAAAGACTGGCCTTAACTAAAATATTGCTAATTAAGCCTAATATTCACAATAAAAAGCCAATGCATTTGGGAAATGTGATTTTTTAAAATAGACTATTTCAGCATTAAAATCCCTTTTCACATTCATCTTGACTGAGGTGGAGGGATAGTCCTGGAGAGGGGGCACCGCCCTCTCGTGGCGCCGACCCTGCTGTAATCATACACAGGTGAGAATCATCACGTTACCTACTAGTTCAAACCCAGCTCCTCTCTGTCTTCAGCTGACGCTCGACCATGCCCCCGCTGCCACAATCCTTTAGTCAGAGGCCATATTCCGCTTAAATTAAACTGAATTAAACAGTTAGGTTAATAGATGAATTTGTAAATGAAAAAATATACCATGCATTTGGCAAAAAAGTATTTTTTTATGATAAACAATCAATGTTAATCTAGAAAATTTCAAAGGTTAAGGGTCAGTAAATAAGTACATAAGTATGTAAGAATGTGCAAAAGAAAATGCGTGTATTTTATTTTTGTCTTATAAATGTATCACTCTTAGCCTTCTGTCATTTATCAGCACAATGAGGAATGAAGAAGTACTGTATACACACACTCACACACACACACACACACAAAGCATGTCTGTGATTCAGATGTTAATGAACACACATCATCATAGTGCATGTGTAGAGATTAATTTCATGTTCGTCTTTAGAAGTGATCATCCGTAAAATGCAAAAAACCCCTGCAAAACAGAGCAAATTCAATCAGAACCTCTTAGAAATCAGAAATTAAACTCTTTCATTTCTCAGAACACTGCTATTTACTTAACCAAAGGGATGGTAAACCCCGCTTCCTCACTGTTTGATTGGTTTTATGCATTTAACCAGCTGCAGTTGTTTGATTCCTGAACTTGCTTTGGCTGCTGGAACCATCAAAGTAGCTACAACAACTCTTATTACCTATTACATTTATAGAAATAACATCAAAGAAGTAATGAAGATGATTTCATTTATTGTCCAGCTCCATATTGATGTTATTCAACTACTATATAAGGAATCTTGGTGTGACAGGAACAATGACCTCTAAAATTTTTTTTTTCAATTTTTTCTGAGAACAAATTTTTTAAATGTTTGAAATTAGTTTTAATGTTGGTACAAAATGACATTTCTTTCTGAAAGGTAATTAGAAATTTTAAATATCTAATATGTAATATCTATTCAAAAATGAATTAAATTGTCATGATGGTGTTTATTAGCTACAAATCAGACAATCAGACTGTTTTAATTTTACTTGAAAGCCCCCTAATAACTATGGTGTTAGTTTATTTTAGCCATCAATTAACAGTGAAAGTTTTGGCTTAGCCAAACTAATACTCATGAATTGAGTAATGTGAGCACAGCCAAAATGTGTGATGAGGAAGGTTCTTAGAGAAATTATTAATTATTTGTACTTATTACTTGCTTTATTACTTATACACTAAAATGAATCTAAAGTTATGTTAAAAGAGTGATAACATATAAAAACAGTAGTGGACAAAGACCCTCTTCTGAACTAGATCTGCTTTGTTAAAAACATGGTGGACATGAGCTCTCATTTCCTCCCTAAGAAGTGTCCATTCAAGCAAACCAGGCTTAGAACCTCCTGCCTTTCCTAATCTCCTTCCCTTGCTTCACTCCCTCAGGGTGGAGGGCATGGACAAAGACGCTTAAGTCTGCACTCAGGATAAAAATCAACAAGTTCCAGAGACATCCATGTAGTTTTCTCCAGGGATGGATGTCTGAAGTGCTTATTACTTGGGATTTGACATCATCAGGGTGTAACGCTCAAAACAAACCAATTAAGAAAAACATGTATGCTGCTGCTGGAACAAAACAGAGCATCCCTCGACACCCAATTAGGAGATAAGGTCCAAAAGATAAGCTGCTGGTTCTGATGGCATGGCAGCATTTTGAGAGTTCATGGTTGTTGGGAAATTTTAGCTGATTAATGAACATATCCGATCTAATTAAAAAATGATCTTAGAAGAGAAACATGACCACAGAGGCTCTGTTATGACCTACAGATAATAATGAACTTTCTAGAAACTTTCTAAAAAAAAGGGGTTGATAAAAAGCCCCAGTCAGACATGTGTTTAACTAATCCAAACCAAAAGTATGAAAAAATGTCACGTACAGTCCAAACTCTCAGTTCAGGAGGCTGGAGAGGGGAGAATTTAAGGCCTTTCTTAACAAATCAGAGCATCAGCACTGTGGTTTGCCTATCCATTCCAGAGCATTGACAACAAGGGTTTCTTTACCAAATCCAAACATCAACAGTAAGAGTTTCTCTAACCAATTAGGGTGCCAGCAGGTTGGAATTTTCTAACCAATCAGGGTGTTGACAATGAGGGTTTCTCTACTCTATCATGTTGTCAACAGTGAGGGTTTCTCTAAACAATCAGAGCATCAACAAGTCATGATTCTTTAACAAACCACTATGTAGACAAAGAGGGTTCCTCTAACCAAACAGGCCATCAGCAAAACAGGTTTCTCTAACTAATCAGAGCATAGGCCGAGTGGGTCAATCACAGAGTTGACAGTAAGTGTCTTTAACCAATCAGGTTATCATCAGGTCGTGTTTCTCTAACCAATCCGGTTGATGAGATTGAGGATTTCTCTAACCAGTCAGGGCAATGACAATGAAGGTTTCTTGAAGTAATCAGAGCATAATCAAAGTCAGTTTCTCTAACCATCAACAGTGAGGGTTTCTCTAACTGATCAGGGCATCAGTAATGAGTGTTTCTCTAACCAATCAAGAATCAGCAGGGTGGGATTCTCTGACAAATCAGTGGGTCAAAAGAGGGTTTCTCTATCAAGTCAAATCTTCAACAGGATGGGCTTCTCTTACCAGTCAGGACATCGACAATAAGGGTTTCTCTAAGCAATCATGGAGTCGACAATGAGACTTTTTCTAACCAATCAGAATCTCAGCACAGGGGATTTTTCTAACCAATTGGAGGGTTGACAATGACGGTTTCTCTAACCATTCAGAGCATCAGCAAAGCATTGTTCTCAAACCAATCAGAGCATTAGGAGAAAGTGCAGAAAGCATTGTTTTGTGAACCAAACGGGGAGGTCATAGCTTGGGTTTCTCTAACCCAGGGTGTCCACATTTCTGACATCAGACAAACAAACACACACACTTATTGTATATCTAGACACAGTTTATGATTTTCTGTCTAAGCTGCTCTAATGTCTCAAGTGTGAATGTTTTATACACTGTGATACTTATTTTATTGATTAATTCATACTATTCTTTCTTTCTTCCTGATGTAGTTGAGAAGTGCAACATCTTGGTCTTTTATTTTGTCTGTCATAGACACATGCTCTTCTGTGTGTGTGGTTTATTTTATTCCCCTTCGTATTTTGTCTACATCACTCTTTTTGACAGGACAAATAATCTATCCCATAAACCTGACTCCAACCCCCCCACTGAGCTACAATAACACTGCAACTCAGGCTTCACAATCATTGTCAGTCATGCCACTCATTTTCATACTGCAGGCATTGCTTCATAAAAAAATAAATGAAAAAATCAATTCTGTCAATCATTTAAATCCACTATATCCACTATAGTCTGCAACAATAGTGCTTAAACTGAGTCAACATTTACTAGCAAACACTGTTTAACATTGGTTTAAAAAAAAAAAAAAAAGTTTTTTCACCTGAGAACTATCAAAATTATCAACAACTATTAACTATCAACAGTACTGTCACAATACACTTATATACACTTTTACTCCAATACCCTGTCACAGTGATATACTGTTACACTGATACAATCTCAAACTGATACCATGTCATACTGATACACTGTCAGACCAATGCACTAATACAATGATACACTGTTACACCAATATACTGTCACACTGATACAATGCTACATGGATACGCTGTCGCACTGATACTCCAATACGCCGTCACACTGATACATGAATATGCTGTTACACAGATACCGAGTCACACTGATACACTGTTACACCAATACACTAAAGGTGGTGGCCATTTTTTTAAACAGAAAACTACTAAACAGAAGAATATTTACTAAACAAAAGAATATTTCCACCAATAAATGCACTCAAAAGAATTCATTTTTTGTTTAAAGTGTATTTTCAAAAATAACATAAAAGAAGCAAAACACAAAACTTTAACAGAGTTCTTCTCCAATGTATATACATTCAGTGGCTGCTGCTGGACTCGCTCGGTGCCTGCGCCTTTTTTGTCATTGCAGATTCAAGAGTCCATATTTCACAAACCTGCATAACACAACAAAAAAGAAGAAACAAAGAAGGATTACTACAACTTGGCATGAACTGAATTCATAAAAAAATAAAAAATAAAAAAAAAAGCACCCGCTCACTCAGAGGGTGAGGGTAAGAGCGTAAAGCACTGGGTGAAAGCGTAAATGACTGCATGTGCCAAGGGAGTGTGTGTGACTGTGCAGTGTATGTGTGGCGTATGCATGACTGTGTGGCATGCATATGTGTGTGTGTGTGTAATGAGATGCTGACCTGGTTCAATGCAAGGAACACAGCTTCGGACACCTTTAGGTTTGCAGGGAAGGGGTGGGGGGTGGGGGGGCTGAAATACTTGGACCGGACAGCACTCTTCAGCATGGAGACCAGAAACGCTTCTGTAGTTGGCGGCCAAAGTACAGCACACAAGACCTTTACTTGCTCCGGCATCCTCACCAGCCCGAAC